GAATGAATATTTCACAAATCTTTAGTAAACCAAGCAGCGTGGTGCGTTTGTGTGTTGAGGAGAAGCAGCAGCATGCCTGGGAATGCCTGGGAATGCCAGGCCTGCCTCCGAGGACGACCTTGAGGGAGCATCAGTAAAAGGCTTCATTAAGCAGTTCGATTAACCTCTGCCTCTCCTGAGCGCTGTAAAAGCGAAGCGGCACTCTGACGGCGCCCAGACGTCAGAGTGCCGCCCATGAATCCTCTTGGTTTTACGGGACTGCCGAGGAGTGGGCCGGAGGGCGAGGAGACCCCCGGCTAGCCGCCGCCGCCGCAGCTCAACGGTAGCTGGCGTTAATTAGAGGAGGGCGAACGCTGCTTCAAATTTAGCGCCCACAAGCTTTAATCAAGCTTTTCATTAGGAAAAACCCAGAGAGGTTCCTCCAGAGGCGGAAACGACTTCCTGTGACTGATCCTGTCACATATCCGGGTCTGGGCCGTTAAAGCGACCTCCAGCAGACGGGTTGCACTCACTTCCCAGGCCACAGCGACCCTGCTCCTAACCGCCCAGTGGGACCAAACCAGATCAGACAGCTCGTCTCGCTGAAGCAGTAAACGCCCGGCGGTCGCCACGGCAACGCACAAGCCCTGGTGGGGAACGCGGTCTTAATCAGAACCGGCCACAGAGTCGACTTACGGACCTTTCATCTGACTCAAAACTGCCTCCCTGAAACGTTAGCCGTACAACACGCTCACACATAGACGAGGTTCACTCAGATTTTAGCTGAATTTTATGATTGTTATTAATTAAAGGAGATCTATTAAGCAAAATTGACATTTAGAATGTTCCTACATTTGGATTTCTGCTGCTTCTAAACACAGCCGGAGAACAGCCATCTTTGGCAATAAGTTCATGTTTTATTTGGGTGTCTGGAAAAAAAAAAAAAAGACATTTCAAAAATTTCAAGAACGTAATATCACAAATCAGCAAACACTGCCTGTTCCTAGCAACACGTTTGGTCAACTGGTTTAACATGTGTGGTTGTTAACTTGCCCTGCTGCATTCTAGCTGGTTGTGCAGGAGGCTCCACTTCTGCTTTTCTAACATGAATACTTGCGTAATTGTTTCTGTTTGCAGCCTTTTTTACGAACAAGTGTAAACACTTGAGTTGGGGGCGTGGCCAGGAGCAGCTTGTTTGGATTTAAAGTGGCAGAAGGCCCTTAGACAGCTCAACAGAGGCCAAACTCAGCAGACAGAAATCTCTCATCTAAGAATGATTTTGTGGAAAGAATTTAATGAACATATTTTGATAGCACTCTATAATTCTAATTTGTGTGGCACAGTAAGACGAGTAGAGACTGGTTTGAGGTAATTGGTGTTGATTAAAACGATTATGGGCTGAAAACTCCTGGATTAAGAGATTAAAGGTTCTGTGAGAATTTGGGTCAGAAGTGGCCCCAGCTTTGCTTCTGACCAGAAGAGGATGAATGAGTTGAAATATTGATCTGTTTGACGCCAAACGTCTCTAGTTTCACCTATAATCCCTGTTGGAAGCAGCTCTGAACATGATGGATAGATTATTGATCAGCAGACGCCGTCTCTTTGTGTTTGAGCTGCAGCTGGTTGCATTTCCAGCTGAGGCCCCTGTCCGCCAAGTATCCGTTCTGCTCTGCTAGGTGTGGAGGAGGTCAAAGGTGAATGCCATTTGAGAACCGAACAGGTGAGAGCTGGAAGAGCCCGACCCGGCAGCGCTGGAGCCTCTGATCCACTAAAAACAAGGTCAGAACCAGGAGCCAGCTCAGAGCAGGGACACACCAGCGGAGGAAAATATCCAATCTGCATTGTTTTAATCCACTGAAGATTACACAGTCACGGTGGGTTGACGCAGCAGCCTGCCAGAAAGAGGTCATCCTGGCCCGTCATGCTTTTCAGCCATGCTGGCGCTTCCATATGCGTCTGTCACTCAGCACAAGTCTCCAACAATGACCATACGTCCGTCACAAACTCAAGCCAGCAAAGACAAATGTCATCGCTTCGCTGTTAACTGGAGCAAACACATGACGAATACCCACGATCCCCGTCGCAAACATCCTTGGATGTTTTTGTCCGCTGTTGCCAAATTTGGATCTGCTCCGTCTGACGTTGACACGTCGCTGTGGAGCTTTTGTGCGTCTGATGAGGATGTGACGGCACTGAATGGAGCAGGCGGGAGAGACCCAGATGGGTCCCACTGGGGTTTTGTTCTCCGTCGAGCAGCGATGCAGAGACTCCGTCTGAACGGGCTTCACCGCAGAGGAGACGGCGCAGATGTTCTCCGTGCTCAGTCAGAGCTAAAGGAAGGGATACCAAAAGGGACAACACCTACAAACTGTCCCTTTCCCCGTAAATGTGGAATTTCTTTGCCAAAACCAGAAATTAAACCAACGCCATGACGTTTTCTCAACCTAAAGTTGACCAACAATGAGCACCAGAAAAGGAACACACCGAAATCTCTCTCGGAAATCTAGAACTAAAGTTGCACAAACCAAAAAGAAGAAGCCACACTGCAACTTCCCCTGGAAATGCAGACTTCCTGTGGATGTCAAGGTAAAGTACCACAAAAAAGGAACCAATTATTTCAAAGTCTTACAGCTATGTGGACAAAGGTTCCAGAATGCAGAATACTGCATGGAAAAGAAACCAGCTCAGACATTTGTTCTTCAACTGTTTCAGATCTAAAATCTTGCTGAGTAAAAGACTCAAGTTTCTCCAAGAAATCTCCAGTCTAGATTTAAAGTTGCTTAAATCAGAGTACTATTAAAATGAATTCCCTCTGTGACTTCTTGTGAAAATGTAGATTTCTCCCAGATCTGAAGTTGTGTAAAGTCATAATCACCTAATGGGTGTTGTCTACTAGTGTGAAAGTGGCCAATAATACAGCCCAATGAGTGACATGAAAGCCCCAGGTCAAAAGGTCGTGGCAGAAGGATGAGGGGAACTGGAAGAATGCGAGGGCTTCTCTTTCAGCCCTTGACGGATTGATGGGGCCCATATTCCTAGGGGTGGAGAGAGACATGGACAGCGTAGAGCAAAGTGCCGCCTAATGAGGGAAGAGGCTTTCTTTTCCACACAACGATGTGTTTTTGCCCAACAAAAGCCTTTGTGAAGTCATTCATCAGCTTCACTCCGCCTGTATCAAACAGAAGAAACGGGAACAAACCCTTCGTGGTTGGTATGTTCTGTTTATTTTACGAAAAAGCTGCGCATCAGAGACTTGTGGCTTTCAAAGCAACGACAGCGGGTTTGTTTACTACCTCCGATATGATTGCATCTCAGGAGCGAGGAATCTCCTTACAGAGATGTCTGCCGCCGCACTCAGAAAGACAAAAGCGGCTTTGTAGGTAGCACTTCCCTTTAGGCAAACCAGTTTAGTCATGCTATGTCACACAGCACCATCATGTTGGACCCCTAGTGTCTGCAACAAGTTGGCATGGAGAAAGTTGTAGAAGACTTTAGTCTAAAGAAGAATGTTTTCAGAACGCTACTCAACTCTTTGGCCTGAGTTACAGACTTTCTCCGGAGGACACCTTCTTCCATTAGACAAAATAAATCCAGACACAGGACTCTTACCTCAACACAAGCCTTTGTGAAGGCTACCATTGGCTGTCCAAAGCCAACTAGATGAAGATTTCTACCTAAATTTACCTGAAGGTTTCCCCCAGAAAACCTGCCAAGCCTGGTGTCGGGGGCTCGAGGGCCTCCAGCAGCCGATTGTGTTATCGAGTTAAAAAATGCTCAAAGTGGACAAAAAATTTGAAAATATCATTGGTTAATTATGTCTTATTGGAAGTCTTTACTAACAATACCTAAACACCAACTATAGAGTCTTTAAACAAAGGCAAACATTATCAAAAGACAAATAAAATAAAAGTCAATTCTTTGCACTTCAGTTATTTCACACTAACATATAGTAAATAAACAAACAATGGAAAAAAAAAAATCAAAACGGAAAACAGAGTTCCAAGTGAGATTTGTAGGGTTTCTGGGGCAAAACTGTGAGACCTGAGCATTTCCATGAGGCATTGTGATAGAGGTAGACATCTGTCACCTGCAGTCAACCATTGGGTTTACTGCACACTGAACAAGAACACCCAGATGCCCTAGAGTGGGGGAATAATTAATTTTAGAGGTGCCAGACGATGGTATTTGCACCTCGGTTGGGGGTCATTTGCTGCCTTCTGTTAAGGGATTTATGGATCTGTCCTTCACTATAATAAAAAGACTCACATTACCTAATAAAGGTCAAATTCAAACGTTGTTATTGATGGGAATCTTTGGGACTTCTAGCGATGTTGTAGTTTAGTCTAATGGCTCAGTACAAGTTCATGGCTATGAAAGCATTTGGCCTGGCAGTGCAACCACAGGTCAGCTCATGCAGAAACATTCTGGTCATTCTAAGTAGCCATTAGGTCACAAAGGGGGTTCAGAAAGCGGGGCACCAATGACTTCAGGGTCATTCCTTTACACATCGCTTCCTTTTTCAGGGGGCTTTCCTGGCCTGGTAAGTGGGCTGGTCAGTGGTCATCCACCCCCTCACCGAGCCACATACCCTGAGACCTACATCCCCTTCTGTCCAGCCCCCGGCCCTCTCTGCTCACTCAGGGAGAAAATTACTTGGAGCTGGGGGACACAGCTCCATTGAGATGGTGAGAGGTTGGTACAAAAGAGGGCGAAGTTTAAAAAATCGTCTCTTTCTCCTGTCATCATTGGAAGAGCCGGGATGCTCGGAGCACGGAGGGGACAAGGTCATTAGATTGGCATCTCCATAAGCTCTTCATTCCCATTGTCTGCACAAATCTGCTCCAATAGCTTCTCCCTGAGAAACAGCGGCTTTGTCCTGCACTTTCAGGGCCTTCCGGCAACAAAGCACATTTCTCAAGCGGAGCTACAAAGCTTGTCTGGCTCTCAGAAGCAGGCGACATTGTCCTGCTGCCGCTGGTCGGGGATGGATTACATCTTCCAGCAGTAAAACATCTGCTTACCTTCGGACATTTCGCCGCTCCTCCTCAAGCTGCTTCAGGAGCTCGTCGATGCATTTGTTGGCGTCCATGTACTCCTGTCACGAAGAGATGAGAGAGGTTTATGCGCATTAGTAACTTTTCATTCGTCCTCCTAAATCACACCGCTAATGGAAAGCCTTCTGGAACAGGGGGGTGACATTAGGGTTCCTTTCTTTGAGAGAGCAAATCCAGAAGCAGCTTGGCGCAGCGTCCAAAGCCAGCCCCAGCTGTGTAATGTCATTCGGGAATAGCCCACACTTCCAAACCGTGCGCTACCGAGTTACAGGAATGAGCTACGGCTCCGAGCTAAATGGGGAAAACAGATGTGAGGACTTCTGGTCTTTGGCCTAATGATTTGCTTTTTAGTGGTCTGGTTGTATAAAACAGACGCTGGCGCTGTTAGCATTAGAAAAGGGCCACCACACTTCAAATATCTGGCTTTTCACACATCCAGTCAGTTGTGACTTGATGCTGTCACAGCCGTCCAGTCCAGGTTTGGGACTAATTAATTAGACGTGTGCTTGACGCGTCCCATGGGCGAGCGGTTATCTCGGCGGGACAGATGCTCGCCATTGATTTCTGCTCATGAGAAACCGGAGATTCCCATAAAGAAATCGCACTCAAGCAGAAAAAGAAAACACTCATAAACCCTTTATTTTTACATTTCCTGCAGCTCCCCGCGCCTCAGCTACTTCGCTTTGCTCTCGGTGTCAGCTGCCTAATTAGTGCCTGGCAAAAATAACTCTGTGTGAACTCATTCTTTGAAACAGAATCAACAGGAAAACAAAACCCAAACGGCAGCAGCACATATTGAATTTTCCTGTTGTCATTCAGCAGAAGCATCAGGGTGCATAAGCTACCAGGTTCAGATGAGCATACTGACGCAGACTGTTGTCTTTATTCCCATTTTTGCTGTGGCGCAAACGTATTTTCACATAGTTATTGTTACGAGAAATAAATGGACTTTGACGGGCTGAATGTATTTCAAGGGTCATCAGCTGTAAAACCTCCAGCTACTCTGAAAAGCATATTTTTAATTGGAGAATTGAGAAGAAGGGAGATTAAACGCATTCTTAAAATACTTTCCATGAAATGGCTGAGGAGGAATTTGACTTTTACTGACAGATTTTCAACGTTTTTAAATATTGTCAATTTTCAGATTCCGGAAGCTCATATCATTCATATTTAGTCTGACCTTTAGCCATAAAACTACACATGCTCTTATCACATATACCATATCAGTCCGCAGACAGCGGTTGGAAGTGGTCAAGCTTTCCGACTGACCAGGTCAAATGGAATAAAGCACATCCTGCTGGAAAACAGGGAAAAGCCTCAGCCTTTTCACACAGCCTCACCTCATTGGCGTTTATTTTGTCCGATCTGATCTGTGACCCTTTGACTGGATTGACTGAGCCTTTTGGAAACAAGTCGGTGCCCACCCATGCACCATGACCTAATCGTAGCTAAACATTCGGACTGTTAGGGTTTTGCAAAGCTCCAAGAATGTAGCTGGCATTTTCACATAAAGATCCAAGTGGGAGGTAAAGTCAATGAGTGGAGGGTAAATAATTTGCCTGGAGTCATGTTTGAGCTCATCCTGACCTCTGAGGCCCCGACTGTACTTCAAGCGCTGCTGTTATCACTCCATGCGCTTTTTTTAACCTGTGGCCCTGAAAGCAAACTCTCACCAGTCCAGATGTTCAGAATACAGTAAGTTTTGTCTGCTACTCCGACGCTCCGTCTGAGACTGCCACTCCAACACGGTCGTCGCCCTGCAGCTTCAGCCGGTGCCGGAGGAGCATGCCAAAGACCCGGAGCCCCTGCTGAGTGAAGGCCCAGCTGGGCTTTTAACCAAAACACAACAACAGATCAATGCCTCACAGCGTGGAGCGGAGTTTGCCAATATACGTCCAATAGCTTCTGAAAAATGACAATGAAACGCTGTTAACTGCAATCCATCATGACTTTTCAGGCTAATGCGACGCATTAGCTTGAGAAGTCATTCATGTTAGTTCAGAGCAGCAGCCTAAAGCCATCTGGTCATCTCTTAGTGCCAAAATTATATGAAAGCCATTTGACCATCAACCAAGTTAACAAGGACAAGAGTTAAGAGTCAATGGTGGAGAAAATGCGGCTAACAAAAGATATCATGAGAATGAAATCACGATTAAATTAGACCTCCTAATGTGATACTCAAAATGAGCATGGAAAATGCCATGGTCAGACAACTCGACAACTACAAGCAGCAAAGGTAGAAAATAAAAATAAAAATAAAAAAACACAAAAAACTTGTAGATTTCAGAAATACAACCTGCAAGTTGCAGTTTGTCAAACATGACGAAAAGTGCAATAAAGTACCCTGTGACTTACTTGTACGTTCAAGAAAAGCACTAGAAAGGTACTCTGGTAGCTCCATAAAACTACCTCGATGGTTCATATAAAATTATGACGCAACTATGGGAAACTACCACTTCTAGATATTACTATGTTTCCAATCAAATGTTGTGTAAGGGTTTATTTTTCTGACAGAGGTTTAAACTTAGAAATGTTTCACCATTTATGCCTCTTTTAAAGTACAGGAAAGTGCAAAAACGTAATCTGTTATCACTGGCTGGATTATAGACACTTTCTAAACCGCAGATCGTCATATCTTATTCTCATTTAATTAGCTGAATCTAAATATTCAGTTTGTTTCCATAGTATTTGTGACAGATAAGTCCTAAACATTTATAAGAAGCGTGATCCTTCAGCGACTCCAGAAAGGGAATCCTGAGGGCGAAAGCCCGGAGTCTTGGGAAATATTTACAGGCCACATCAAAGTGCAGCAAAGCCGTGTAAGTCTGTGCTGTCATCAGGCAGACCTCTGCTAATGACAGGGCACTGAAATAATCCTCAGCACACATGTAGGAATGCAGGGAATGCCGCACGCCCAGGGTCGTGCGAGAACAGCGGGCGTTTAAAGGTGGAGATTTAAAGCAGGACTAGATGCATGTAAAGCTGCGCGTTATATCTTCAGCCGAGCATTATTTCTGACGGCTTTATGACTCCAGTGAAAGCCACACCGCTCCCCTGAGGACAGGTACTGCCGCTCGGACCACAATGAGCTGAATCCACTGACCCGAGACTTTATGGAAGGTATATTTCTTCGGACCGGTTCTCTAACAACTGCAGCGAAGCAGTTTGGCACCAAGAGGGCCGACCGTAATCACAACTAATGAATCGGTTGCGAAACAGCTTTAAGTCATCTGAACTGGATGCAGAACAGCATTCCTGAATTCAGTTGAGAAAGTTGTGATTTACAACATTGCATCACTGCTTGCAGGACTTAGCTTGGGAGTGGCGTAAGATGCTAAACAACTAGCATTAGGTTTGGCTTTTGTCTTGCAGGATATAGAGGATCTTATTAACTGCATGTTGTCTTTGACCTGTGGCTGCAGAAAAAAAAAAAGTTACAATCTGTACTCCACCTCGCCTGACCATTGCCTTCATACATAAGTCATGACCAAACTTTAGCGACTGGGTGAAATCGAGCTCAATCAATTCAAACTTCAACAGACTCCAGGCCTGAAGGAAGAGATTGTTTTTAAGTAGCCGAGGGTCCAGGACCTCTGGACGAAGTGAAACGTAGACCGTCCTCCACCACCATAATTAAAAGTTTTTCAAAGAACAGATGAGACCATCATGCTAACAGAGATCTGACTGGATGGTCTGACCTTGGACTGTATTTGCTGAGAGCTCTTCAGTGATTACTGGAAGTTGCCTCATAAATGATCCATTTATTGAATAATCTTTCACTCTGTTTGACAACAAATTAGTTTGAAATGCCTCAAAAACCCTCAGGAGATGTCCAAGCATCAACAGTTGCTTCTCTAAGCTCGTTGCTGATCCAATCTTTGAGTTGTCCAAACAAAACGATACTAAAGATCTATAAAGCAGAACATTCAGCGTTTAGTTCAGGTATATAAGGTATGTAACTAACCTGTATAGTTATATAACCGTTCAGGTATATAACTAACTATTGGCACCAGCCAATAGCGTTGACTTCAGTGGCTGAACTCATTCCATCCTGATGGTTTAAGTATTTGTAATGTAAAGTTTGCTGCATTTATGCTGATAAGTCAACACCTCCCTGCCTTCTGTCACTGCAGGGGTCCAACTGCTTCTTCTCCCTTCAGGAAGTATGAAATATGAGCAGACCAAATGAACCTCTGGCTTTTATTCACAGGAGGATTGTTTTAAGGAAAGAAAGAACAGACTCAAACATACAGATTCACTGAACTCCATCCATGTAAAAATCACGATCCAGATTTAGAAGTCATAAAACATCAGATGCATTATTCATTTATGAGTCAGAGCAAGTAATCCCACCCTAGCAGAACATCTGGTTTGGATCTGGAGTGAAAAACGGTGGTGAACCGGCTGGGTCCTGTCTCTTTAAGAGGTGCTGAGCTCCCTCCACCACCTTGATGCGTCGGCAGATCAGAGATCCAAGCAGGCAGTAGCCGATAAGACACGTTGTGAGAATGAGACCCTGTCCAAAGACAAGGTCAGGACCTTGATCCTCCCCAGCCTGTCTCTGCTTCCCCTGCAGCCCAACGACATGGCGCTCTGACCTCCTGGACCGCATCATTGAAAACCCGAGAGCTTCAGGTTTGACAGAAGGCTCTGATCTCACATGGGCCGCTGCAGGGCAAAGGTTTCGCCAACAGACAGTAGGATTTCTCTCACGGTGGATGTTTATGGCCTACTTAAAGATGCATTAGGACCGTGAGGTGTGGCAGATGTGCCAGTGTTGGTTTTGGTCTCCTGCCAGGCCACAGCTGCTGCTATGCCAGCCTCCGATGTGAAGCAAACTAATTTAATTCACCGCAATAATAAAAAAAAACATGCGTTAATGTAATTCATGACTGATCCAGTTTTAGGATCTAATCAGCCTGACTAATCGCCTCCTGCCTCTGTTCATATCAAGACGTATCACTCAGCCTTGGTTAAATTCATTAGTCTTATCTGAAGCTGCTGGCCATTCTTCACTCTCATCCCGACGACCCGGCCTCGC